CGTGAGGATCTGCGGGGGCCACCATTAGTCAACTGGTTGGTGGTTGACCTACCCCTCTGAAAAATACTAGTCAAATGGGATTATTGTTCCCAATACCTGGAACAATATTTCAGCCATGTTCCAAAGCACCAACCAAATCCGCCGACCCCGGCAGACGCAAGGGGGAGCGCGCCAGGGAATAAGACATTTGACCCTTGTCGGACTACTACTACTACTACCACTACCACTACTACTACTACTACTACTACTACTACTACTACTAGGACTACGACTACGACTACGGCTACGGCTACGAGTTTCGAGAAAGATGTCTGGCTGTTGGTTTCTCGCCTTGGAGGCTGTTGTTTCGCAACCGCTCGCTAGGAGTTTGTTGTGGAGCCGTTGCCCGCAGGCCGTCCTTCAGGGCCACTGTGTTTCCCCTGTCCGGCAGCGTGCGTTTTCAGCTTCGGGAGGAAGAGCAGCAGCAGCAACAGGAGCAGCAGGAGGGTTCTATGTCTCACTATGTCTCATTGTACAAACAGCGGTACAAAAAATGGTCGAAAACTATTGTTTTTCTAGGGTTTCAGAAGGGACGTTAGGGAGTTTTTGGGCTCGATTTTGGCGCCGTTCCGTCCTTCAGGGCCGCTGTGTTTCCCTGTCCGGCAGCGTGCGTTTTCAGCTTCGGGAGGAGCAGCAGCAGCAACAGGAGCAGCAGGAGGGTTCTATGTCTCACTATGTCTCATTGTACAAACAGCGGTACAAAAACTGGTCGAAAACTATTGTTTTTCGGCAGGGTGCGTTTTCAGCTTCGGGAGGAAAAGCAGCAGCAGCAACAGGAGCAGCAGGAGGGGTCTATGTCTCACTATGTCTCATTGTGCAAACAGCGGTACAAAAAATGGTCGAAAACTATTGTTTTTCTAGGGTTTCAGAAGGGACGTTAGGCAGTTTTTGGGTTCGATTTTGGCGCTGTTCCGTCCTTCAGGGCCACTGTGTTTCCCTGTCCGGCAGCGCCCGTTCTCAGCTTCGGGAGGAAGAGCAGCAGCAGCAACAGGAGCAGCAGGAGGGTTCTATGTCTCACTATGTCTCATTGTACAAACAGCGGTACAAAAAATAGTCGAAAACTATTGTTTTTCTAGGGTTTCAGAAGGGACGTTAGGCAGTTTTTGGGCTCGATTTTGGCGCCGTTCCGTCCGTCAGGGCCACTGTGTTTCCCTGTCCGGCAGCGTGCTTTTTCAGCTTCGGGAGGAAGAGCAGCAGCAGCAACAGGAGCAGCAGGACGGTTCTATGTCTCACTATGTCTCATTGTACAAACAGCGGTACAAAAAATGGTCGAAAACTATTGTTTTTCTAGGGTTTCAGAAGGGACGTTAGGCAGTTTTTGGGTTCGATTTTGGCGCCGTTCCGTCCTTCAGGGCCACTGTGTTTCCCTGTCCGGCAGCGTCCGTTCTCAGTTTCGGGAGGAAGAGCAGCAGCAGCAACAGGAGCAGCAGGAGGGTTCTATGTCTCACTATATCTCATTGTACAAACAGCGGTACAAAAAATTGTCGAAAACCATTGTTTTTCTAGGGTTTCAGAAGGGACGTTAGGCAGTTTTGGGGCTCGATTTTGGCACCGTTCCGTCCTTCAGGGCCACTGTGTTTCCCTGTCCGGCAGCGTGCGTTCTCAGCTTCGGGAGGAAGAGCAGCAGCAGCAACAGGAGCAGCAGGAGGGGTCTATGTCTCACTATGTCTCATTGTACAAACAGCGGTACAAAAACTGGTCGAAAACTATTGTTTTTCTAGGGTTTCAGAAGGGACGTTAGGCAGTTTTGGGGCTCGATTTTGGCGCCGTTCCGTCCTTCAGGGCCACTGTGTTTCCCTGTCCGGCAGCGTGCGTTCTCAGCTTCGGGAGGAAGAGCAGCAGCAGCAACAGGAGCAGCAGGAGGGTTCTATGTCTCACTATGTCTCATTGTACAAACAGCTTTCAGAAGGGACGTTAGGCAGTTTTTGGGCTCCATTTTGGCGCTGTTCCGTCCTTCAGGGCCACTGTGTTTCCCTGTCCGGCAGCGTGCGTTTTCAGCTTCGGGAGGAAGAGCAGCAGCAGCAACAGGAGCAGCAGGAGAGTTCTCTGTCTCACTATATCTCATTGTACAAACAGCGGTACAAAAAATGGTCGAAAACTATTGTTTTTCTAGGGTTTCAGAAGGGACGTTAGGCAGTTTTTGGGTTCGATTTTGGCGCTGTTCCGTCCTTCAGGGCCACTGTGTTTCCCTGTCCGGCAGCGTCCGTTCTCAGCTTCGGGAGGAAGAGCAGCAGCAACAGGAGCAGCAGGAGGGTTCTATGTCTCACTATGTCTCATTGTACAAACAGCGGTACAAAAGATGGTCGAAAACTATTGTTTTTCTAGGGTTTCAGAAGGGACGTTAGGCAGTTTTTGGGCTCGATTTTGGCGCTGTTCCGTCCCTGTCCGGCAGCGTGCGTTTTCAGCTTCGGGAGGAAGAGCAGCAGCAGCAACAGGAGCAGCAGGAGGGTTCTATGTCTCACTATGTCTCATTGTGCAAACAGCGGTACAAAAAATGGTCGAAAACTATTGTTTTTCTAGGGTTTCAGAAGGGCCGTTAGGCAGTTTTTGGGTTCGATTTTGGCGCTGTTCCGTCCTTCAGGGCCACTGTGTTTCCCTGTCCGGCAGCGTGCGTTTTCAGCTTCGGGAGGAAGAGCAGCAGCAGCAACAGGAGCAGCAGGAGGGTTCTATGTCTCACTATGTCTCATTGTACAAACAGCGGTACAAAAACTGGTCGAAAACTATTGTTTTTCTAGGGTTTCAGAAGGGACGTTAGGCAGTTTTTGGGCTCGATTTTGGCGCCGTTCCGTCCTTCAGGGCCACTGTGTTTCCCTGTCCGGCAGCGTGCGTTTTCAGCTTCGGGAGGAAGAGCAGCAGCAGCAACGGGAGCAGCAGGAGGGTTCTATGTCTCACTATGTCTCATTGTACAAACAGCGGTACAAAAAATTGTCGAAAACTATTGTTTTTCTAGGGTTTCAGAAGGGACGTTAGGCAGTTTTTGGACTCGATTTTGGCGGGGGCCACTGTGTTTCCCTGTCCGGCAGCGTGCTTTTTCAGCTTCGGGAGGAAGAGCAGCAGCAGCAACAGGAGCAGCAGGAGGGTTCTATGTCTCACTATATCTCATTGTACAAACAGCGGTACCAAAAATGGTCGAAAACCATTGTTTTTCTAGGGTTTCAGAAGCGACGTTAGGCAGTTTTGGGGCTCGATGTTGGCACCGTTCCGTCCTTCAGGGCCACTGTGTTTCCCTGTCCGGCAGCGTGCGTTCTCAGCTTCGGGAGGAAGAGCAGCAGCAGCAACAGGAGCAGCAGGAGGGTTCTATGTCTCACTATGTCTCATTGTGCAAACAGCGGTACAAAAACTGGTCGAAAACTATTGTTCTTCTAGGGTCTCAGAAGGGACGTTAGGCAGTTTTTGGGCTCGATTTTGGCGCTGTTCCGTCCTTCAGGGCCACTGTGTTTCCCTGTCCGGCAGCGTGCGTTTTCAGCTTCGGGAGGACGAGCAGCAGCAGCAACAGGAGCAGCAGGAGGGTTCTATGTCTCACTATGTCTAATTGTACAAACAGCGGTACAAAAAATGGTCGAAAACTATTGGATTGTAGTCATATATCGTAACCTAACACATATACAGCGATATATGCTGCCAGGCTGGAACCAAGAAGGATGCAGCCCGCCCTCACCATTTGGGAATGTGGATAGATATGGATCGATATGGAGGATATGGTACAATGTGAGTCAGCCTGGAACAAAAAGACAGAGACATAGACAGATGCACACTGACAATGAAACACACACACACACATATATATATATATATGAATATATATATAATATGAATATATATATATATAATATATGAATATATATATATATTCATATATATATATGAATATATATATATATGAATATATATATATATATATGAATATATATATATCTATTAAATATACACAGATCTATGATTCTATCTATCCATCTACCTACCTACCATTACCTGCCACTACCTGCCTATCTATCAAACTATCTAGCTATCTATCTATCTATCTAACTATCTATCTATCTATCTATCTATCTATCAATCTATCTATCTATCGACCTATCTATCTATCGATCGATCTATCTATCTATCTATCTCCATCTATCTATCGGTCGATCGATCTATCTCTATCTATCCATCTATCGAATCTAGCAAGCCTGCAGACCATCTATCTATCTATCTATCTATCTATCTATCTATCTATCTATCTAACATCCTCGATGTCGAATGCCGATGTTTACCTGCACATTAAAAATGACAATGTCGACCCTAGCCGTTCCATGGCTTTTTGTGACCTGGTGTTGTCAGCCCCTGAAAATTTCAGTCATTTGAGATCCCAAATGAAAAATCCTCAAGCACAAGCCTGACTGTCCAGCAACACTATGTCAGAATGCAACATAAACAAACATTAAAAAAACATCCAAAATATATTGCCTCGCTCTGGTGAAATTTAACTATATATATATCTCTCTCTCTCTCTATCTCTCCTCTCGTATCATGGCTATGGAAAAGCCACCAACTTGAGCTGTGTGAAAACACAGCGCAAACCTCTTTTTTTTCTCCGGGGTCGGCGGCAGGGGCGGCAGCCCTTAAATAAACCTATTATATGGATATGGCCGTGACACTCAATTCATAGCTCCAACTGGCTCCCCATTTCATCCATTTCTCTCATCCATTGGATGCTCACCTGCCAGCATGGCCAAATTGGACAACTTTGCGAAGACCTCAGTGGCTCCGGAGCCAGGCCAGCCAGGCCAGCTGGGGAAGACCCATGGGACTCATGGGGATGGAATCCGATGGAACCCGATGCAAAGGTATCACGGTATCACCCTCTGTGGATTTTACACCTGTTCATGAGGATATAACTGGTGTAATATGGTATAATGGTATAATTATATAATCCATTGAGGTTGAACAATACCTGTGAATTGCTCATCTAGTTGATAGCTTCAAGCAGCCCCAATATCAAACAAGATCAGTCTATTTTGCTCATCATCCCAGAAAGGATATGCATTTTTTTATTCCCAGCATTTGACAGGTGGCGTCCCTGTTGTGCCTGACCAAAAACCATCACTTTTGCTGGAACGTCAACTTTGGAAAGGGGCAGGTCCAATCTGCAAATCACCATGCCCAAACCGCCAGGCCGAGCGTAGCCCGAACTTGCAGCAGCGAACGCACTTGCTCAGGATGCTCCAAACGCGGTCATATCTGAGCTCACCTCAAATGACGTGGTCGATCGGAGATCCCCAAAAATGGCAATGATAAAGCGGATATGGTGAATAAATTGTTTTGGATTCTGGGTTGTGGGGGTTTGACATTTTGAGACAAGCAACCCACATTCTACCTCATCTACGTCTATGAACTGAACTCTTCAATGTTACCCAGCTTTATGACTACGCTTTTGTAATCTCATCCAGTTCTAAGACGTGGTTGGGATACTCGGACGCTCGTCAAAAAACTGTTTATACTTTATAGTTATCTATCTGTCTATCTATCTATCTATCTATTTATCTATCTATCTATCTATCTATCTATATCTATCCATCTGTCTATCTACCTATCTATCTATCTATCCATCTATCTATCTATCTACCTATCTATCTATCTATCCATCCATCCATCCATCTATCTATCTATCTATCTCTCTCTCTCTATCTATCTCTCTCTCTATCTATATCTATATCTATCTATATCTATCTATATCTCTATCTATATCTCTATCTGTATCTCTATCTCTATCTCTATCTGTATCTCTATCTCTATCTATTTATTTATCTATATCTATATCTATCTGATCTAATCTAATCTGATCTGATCTGATATGATCTGATCTAATCTAGTCTAATCTAATCTAATCTAATCTAATCTAATGTAATCTAATCTATCTATCTGTCTAGGTATAATGTATATAATGTATATTATATATATATATTGTAGGAAATGGTGAGTATATTTATATTTCCCGAACATTGTTATATAATATATAATTGAATTAGGGAAATCATGACAACCCATCGCACTTGGATTTACCCTCTTCTCAAACAAACCCATCTCCCATTCGTCAAAGTTTAGTAGGAGAAAAACAGCACTTTCTATCCACCAAGAGCCGAGACACTTGCCACCCAATTGGCTTCAGTATCGGCTTGTGCCTGTGCCACCACCCAATCTCCAGTGCCACTGCACGCCTGGGAAGGTGGGGCAGTGACACTGAGCCAAATCGCTCAATTGAGATAAGTAGGGCAACTACGGTTAACTTCATGATAGTTGATGGGGTTTACACCCTCAAAAAAACTGGGGGCACCAGGGGTTGAGGGCAGAAAAAATGGGGGCATAACATACTAAAACCTGTTGGTTGTAAACATGGAAACTGGGATAACATGCGCTCCGGTCATCAAATTTGGCCATGGAAATCCAGATGTTGAAAATACTGTATCGTTTTGCCCTAAAATGCTTGGACACAAATAAACATCTCAACCACCAGTCACTCAAACGCCGGCTTTGTCACGATGTTTACAGCTGCCAGTCAAACATAAAAATGAATACAAGTAGGGGACAACAACATGATCTCTGGTGATCTAAACTAGGTATGTATGGGAAACAAAAAACCGTCTGTAGTTGATCGATCTACCTAATAAAATGTGTGCTTTTCCATAGCGATGTTGGATTAATTACCATGGCTTACTAAAAGCTATCCGTTCCATCTGGCATGGGGGCCCTTGATGTTTCAAAAACATGTCCGTTTCATCGGCAGCCAACTGCAAACAGCGACACCTCGAGTTTCACGGGGGCTTTGGAGCCAAAGACCCGCGCCCAACGCAGACAGGATCCTGCCAACCAGGTCAGCCCTGTCTTCGGTTGTGAAATCAAAATCAATACAAACACACACACACAGATAATAGATATAGATATAAATATAAATATATATATATACATGTTGGTCATGATTTGGGCTTGCCACGCTATTTTGTCTGGCACTCAAGTCTCAACCAGGCCCAAGCTTTGATTTCCCATCCGGCGTTTGGATTCCCAATTGCTCCCGTCCCCACATATTCATCCATGGTTTCCAGAGATGAACCCCAGCCCTGTCCTTTCAAGGACCGCCGCAGTTGGCGCTTAAAGTCCTGTGCCGGTGAGCAGCTAGCCATCAAGCAACCCGAACCAGCCATCCACAAAGTCCATCAGGAAAAATTGCGACATTTGTCTGCTAGACCAAGTACATCAAAATCATCAAAATCATCAGCATCATCAGCATCATCAGCATCATCATCATCATCATCAACATCATCATCATCATAATCATAATCAGCAGCATCAGCATCAGCATCAGCATCATCATCATCATCATCATATTTCACAAAAATGTAATAATATGAATATGAGTGTGTATATATATATATATGTGTGTGTGTGAATATGTTTCTATAGCATGCATTTATAAGCAGCACATGTTACATTCTTGTGTGGTTTCTGTCTGTTTCCATGTTCGATCATCCAACCCTCGTGTTCCCAGGACCCGCCCGGTTTCCGCTTCAAACCGCCGACCTCTTCCTCTCCAAAGCCTCGGCGGAAGCACTCCGCCAGACCGAAGCCGTCACACAAGGCCTCCGAAGCACAGCTCAGGCGCATCCCAGGCCCACAATGACATAGTACGATCAATGATTCATATTGAAGAGGAAGAAGAAGAGGTTTTCGCAGAGGCAGCCCAGGAGATCGGCAGACATCATTCATGTCGATGTTGGAATAGATTACCAGTTGATTAACAACAGGTTAATAATTCAAGTTGGATTTTGAGGGATATGATTCCATAATCATCCCACCAACATTGACAATCCAAAATCATCACTTCCCCTTGGAATAAAATCACACCCCACACCCATGGTCTTGCATCTTGCCATTTTAGCAGCCTATGGCAAAAATTAGAAGAATTTAACATTAAGGAGACGGGATTGATAACTATTGACGACTATTGATAACTTATCGCTTTTGGGGTAGAAATGCAAGGCTAGCACTGAGAACTGCAAACAGAGATTTTTTTGGCACTTGACATTATCTATAATTTAAAGTTCTCAGAAGTATTTACTGTAAGGGGGTACGAAGAAGAACAACAACTGTATTCCCGCCCGCTTTCATGACACTATTTGATCTATCTTACTTGGGTGATTTACAGTAGATATAAAACCGCATCCGTTTGTGTCTAAAAATCCGCTAATATCCAAGCCCATGTTCGAAGCGAATCAACGAAAAACAGCTTTTCAATTGAGCCGGATGAACCATGTAAACGTAAACCATAGAACAGAAACGATACAGGATAATTTTAGGATGGAACGGTTATATCATTTTTCTGATATTAAGTTATTTTATATTCTATTGCTCTTTAGAGAAGACAATAGGGTATATAATAAAATCCATCTTTTCACCCCCCAGTCTGCCCCTTCGGCCCGCCTGGTAGACCTCCTCCGCTCCTCCGGCTTCGGACTGCCCGCGGGAGGCCGGGAAGGCGTAGAGCCGTTGGAAGGCGCCTGGCAAGTCCAGGTCGTCCTCCTGCGATGCCGCATGCCAATGGAGGTTTTTAAGGGGAAGTTCATCTATAAATTTATGGTATATTTGGGGTTCGTATATGGAATGGGCAAGCATGGGAGTAGGGTTGCCATCATCTTTTTGAAAGAAAACAGCTGCTTACAGAATTATAAGCCATATTTATTGGATTCATAAGCACACGTATAACCCATATTGACATAGCAAATAGCCCTGCCACTGGTCTCTTTGAGGGTTATTGGTTTCAAATTGAGGCATTGGTTTCAGGAAAATGGTGTGTGAATCAAGTAGCACCCTTGGGCCTTTGGGGCATATTCCCAGTGATAGCGAAAAATGCAGACATTTGTGTTGTCCAAACACAGGTGCACATTCCAATACCCATAGTGCTATAGTGATAATAATGCTTGAAGCCAACCTCAAGCATTCCTAGCTAAACACCTTCAAGAGTGTATGCCATCTCCCGTTGGAACCTCTTGGATGGAAAGGGCTACATCTGGCTAGATCCGGCTACATTCCCTTCGGCGAATTACTTTTCTGGCCATATAGCGGGTAATAGCAAGTAATTTTACGTTGAATCATAGCTCTCAACCACAATCCATTACAATATAACTGGCATTAATTGGCGATATATCTATATTGAATTAAATACCAATTCCAATTCATCATAACTATAAAATATACCATATCAAAAAAAATCTAATATGCAACATCAACCAACATGATACAACCAACCTCCATCATCTTTCCACCCGCCACCCGCAGGCGGGTAACCGCCTTCAAGGCCCTTTTCAGGGCTTTCACCTGGCGCGGCGTGGCGCAGTTGCTGGATGCGGCTCAAACTCGTCCTTGCTATGTGGGTATCAAGTGGGATAAATATAAGCAGGGTTAACCCACCTATAACTAGGAATCCACCTATAACTATAGGGTTATAAGTTATAAGCATTTATAAGCTAGTAAGTGGGATGAGCCACCAAGTATTGAGAGATAAACGCTGAATTGCGAGCAATTCCGCAGCTTGTACAATTGATGCCCGCAAGCCCGAAGTCATTGATCACCCGCGAAAGCTTTCACTGCGAATTCATGGTATCTCAAGGCCCTCAGCTGACTTTTCCTTTAGAAAAAAAACATGTGATGTGAGATGAAGCGATTTGACATTGCCACGTTTCATCACCAAAGGATCCCCTATGGTTTCACCCCATCCTACTGCTACTGGGGGTTGACCTTGGTATGTACCCTAACGTCAAAATTGCTGGGACATAGCTGGGATTTGTTTATGGATGTTTATGCATTTAAATATGGTATATATGATACAGTATAAGTTTGGACGCATCCCTGTTTCACCAATTCCATGTAAAAACAAACACTAGCAAACAACAATGCAACAAGAACAACGATATGATTCGATGATATGTGTTAGAGAAACTGCTTGGCGAACTCTGGCCATTCCAACATATGAATCTATCTTGTAGTGACCCCACAAAACATAGAAACCCACATCATCATAATATGTTGCAACTACTTAATGTGGGTAAAGCAATAGCAATGCATCCCCAATTTCACCATAAATGGCTGATTTAAACATGTTTAAACCATCAAAATTACATAGGGGTGGTTGATTATATAATTGCTTTACCAGCAATAATAAATCCAATGATTATCCCATTTATATCTCTGTTACACCCAGTATTCATGGAATATTTTGACGGCTACATCAATCAAAATCCTCATCAGTCCATCAGTCCCTATACATCCCTATTTTTTGTTATTTCCCGCCCACAACCCTTTTTTTGTTAGCCTCACGTTGCAGCTCCCCTCGCCGCAAGTGGTCAAATTCGCTGTGACTGGCGATCCTGGGAGATGGATCAAGGTATAGCGTCGAAATGGTTTAAGGTATAGCAACCCCCATAGATAGATAGAACAGTTGGAAACAAGGATATATATTTATATATATGAGGTAAATATCATCTATATTATATATTATCTTGGAAATACTTGTTTTTTTGAAACCTTTTGGGGGTTGTTGCAAAATTGAATCGAATGTAATGGATCTTTACACCATCATGTATTTCGGTAATTCAATGATATTCAATGCAAAACATTTGTTTGTTAAGCATCAATGCAGTATCCGCAGGCTGTCCTTGATGGTGTCAAACAAAAAGTAATATGCATTCACCTCCTGGTACTTCACCAGCGAAATCAATAAGGAACCCTGCAGTAAATTAGCTCACATATCACTCATCCCTATTCATGTTTAGACACGGGTCTTTTCTCCATGAATCTACCATTCACTGGTGACTTTAGCACCCGATCCACCCCACCACTCTTTTCGTCACCTCTGCGACCACAGTCTTTACCCTACAGTTGGGCTGGTGCCGTCGCGTCATCAAAGGGATGAATAGCCAGGGCTGCCAAGGTCACCAAACCCAAATCCGTGTTGCTGTCGCTTCTCACCTGGGAAATCAGTGGTAATGGTGTTGATACAACATATAGATATATGCATCTCCTTTCAAACCAGTTGCCACTCTGGTTTCAAAAGGATTTGAATCCGCGTTTCTTATCGATACCATTTTCATCATTACTTGAAACTACCAGAACCAGAATTGTGCCAACTCATCATGTATTTCTTAAGGCTTAAGGCATACTCGGCCTAATCCCTTCCTCCTAATACTAAACGTCCCCCTAATACTAAAAACAGGCATCCATCTCCAATTTCCGAAAATTTCAGTTTGGCCAATTTGACTTTTAATTGATCCCCTTTAAAAAACAATTTAAAAATCAACCTACCATTTGTGTGTTCTCCCCCCTAATACTAAAAACTAGTTCACCCCGGGGTGCTTAGTATTAGGGGGGCCTAGTCCCAATCCCTCACTCCAAGCTGCCTGGCTACTCTAGCAATTAGGGGTAAGCTTCGAACTGCCATTTTTGGCAATATTTTAATTGCGTTAATATAAGGAAATTTAATTGATTTTGAGATCGGAAAAAATAGTTTTTAGTATTAAGGGTTTTAATTTAGTATTAGGGGTAAGCTTCGAACTGCCATTTTTGGCAATATTTTAATTGCGTTATATAAGGAAATTTAATTGATATTGAGATCGGAAAAAATAGTTTTTAGTATTAAGGGTTTTAATTTAGTATTAGGGGTAAGCTTCGAACTGCCATGTTTGGCAATATTTTAATTGCGTTATATAAAGAAATTTAATTGATTTTGAGATCGGAAAAAATAGTTTTTAGTATTAAGGGTTTTAATTTAGTATTAGGGGTAAGCTTCGAACTGCCATTTTTGGCAATATTTTAATTGCGTGATATAAAGAAATTTAATTGATTTTGAGATCGGAAAAAATAGTTTTTAGTATTAAGGGTTTTAATTTAGTATTAGGGGTAAGCTTCGAACTGCCATTTTTGGCAATATTTTAATTGCGTTATATAAGGAAATTTACTTGATTTTGAGATCGGAAAAAATGGTTTTTATTATTAAGGGTTTTAATTTAGTATTAGGGGTAAGCTTCGAACTGCCATTTTTGGCAATATTTTGGTTCCCTAATAATAAATACCCCCCTAATACTAAAAACTACCTGCCGTGTTTTGTATTAGGGGGGGGGTTAGTATTAGGAGGAAGGGATTACTCATTTTCAAGCCTCTCAAAATCAGATCCCCATGATTCGCACGGCATCATTGTATCCCCCTTTGTTTGAAGCCAGCATTTGCCCGGCCTCAATCCTCACCTCAGCCCTGGCAGCATCGCCCTTCGCCACCGCCACCGGGCGCCCGAAGGCATCGCAGAGCTGCAGCGATGTGGGGCTCGCTGTAAGGCGCAGCAGGGCGGAGCGCTGCTGGTTGCGGACCACGAAGGCGCCCGAGGATTTGGAGAACCAGGAAGATTGAACTTCTTCCCATTCCTTGGGGATATCATATAGAGAGGTGTTTGCATGACGGTATTTGGGATGATTTTGCAACATTTGGATCCCAGTTGTGTGACTTCCTCCCAATGCTTGGGGGGAGAAAGTGTACGTGGGCATATGGGTACATGGGTACTTATATGGTATGAGTGGGGGTGATAAATGGAAGGAAGGAAACAAACTATCTGTAGCTTCCTCCCATTTCCGAGGACAAATGTTTGCAAGGGTGGTTTATATACACCGTATGAACAAATAACATGATATATGACATATTATCCAAATAATTCTATAATTATCAAAGGAAGTTGGGAAGCAATACTTCCGTGTTACGGACAAATAGAATTCTGAGACTTGAAATGATGAAGGGTGGTGCGCGATTGAGACTTGACCTTGAAGGGTGGTGCGCGATTGAGACTTGACCTTGATGAAGGGTGGTGTGAGACTTTACATGACATAACAATACATCACATTGAGACTTGACCTTGATGAAGGGTGGTGTGAGACTTTACATGACATAACAATACATCACATTGAGACTTGACCTTGATGAAGGGTGGTGTGAGACTTGACAGGGAAGTGGTGACGAAGGGAAGTGGTGACGAAGGGAAGTGGTGACGAAGGGAAGTGGTGACGAAGGGAAGTGGTGACGAAGGGAAGTGGTGACGAAGGGAACTGGTGACGAAGGGAACTGGTGACGATGGGCAAGTGGTGACGAAGGGAAGTGGTGAAGAAGGGAAGTGATGATGAAGGGAAGTGGTGACGAACGGAAGTGGTGAGGAAGGGAAGTGGTGAAGAAGGGAAGTGGTGACGAAGGGAAGCGGTGAAGAAGGGAAGTGATGATGAAGGGGAGTGGTGACGAAGGGAAGTGGTGAGGAAGGGACGTGGTGACGAAGGAAGTGGTGACGATGGGAAGTGGTGATACTAACGGAAGTGGTGACGATGGGAAGTGGTGACGAAGGGAAGTGGTGACGAAGGGAAGTGGTGACGAAGGGAAGTGCTGACGATGGGAAGTGGACGAAGGGAACTGGTGACGATGGGAAGTGGTGACGAAGGGAAGTGGTGACGAGGGGAAGTGGTGACGAAGGGAAGTGGTGACGAGGGGAAGTGATGATGAAGGGAAGTGATGAAGAAGGGAAGTGGTGACGAAGGGAAGCGGTGAAGAAGGGAAGTGATGATGAAGGGGAGTGGTGACGAAGGGAAGTGGTGAGGAAGGGAAGTGGTGACGAAGGGAAGTGGAGAGGAAGGGAAGTGATGATGAAGGGGAGTGGCGAGGAAGGGAACTGGCAACCATGAAGGGGAGTGGTGCATGATGTTGCAAGGGCTCTGTTGTGGGGAGGAAGCCGGAGCACCAAACCTTGTGTTTTTCCGTGTAAAGTGGCTGCAGCCGACGATGAAAGGTACCTCGTCTGTGCGACGGGTGCGGCTGCGGTCGTTTTGTGCGCGAATTGTTCCTCCTATGTGTTTTGCAACGAGTGGTTGTTCCTGTGTGCGTAGTTCTATGCGGTTCTTGAAGCTGTGGTTGCAGATCGCATTGGGATGGCTGCATGAATGTTGCATGGGTTATGTTTTGGGGAGGAAGCCGGAGCACGAAACCTTGTGGTTTTCCGTGTAAAGTGGCTGCAGCCGGCGAAGAAAGGTACCTCGTCTGTGCGGCGGGTGCGGCTGGGGTCGTTTCATGCGCGAATTGTTCCTCCTATGTGTTTTGCAACGAGTGGTTGTTCCTGTGTGCGTAGTTCTATGCGGTTCTCGAATCTCTG